TTTTCTGTTCATGCAAGCTGACCTGAAGCCTGTAAGCCCAAAAGCTTCTCAGCTTTTTCCTGCTTGCAGTAATGGATGGTCTAATAAAATTTTGACTTCTAACATAAACTTCATATTTCATATAGTCTTAGATTATCACAACTGCAGACGTATCAACACTGGTAGTAGTAAAGTTTAATTAAATTAAATTTTGTTCCTTCCTTACTTGCTGTAGGGTGGATATATAAAAGAAGGAAATTGAAATTAATCGAGTGAAGGAGCTAGTCAATATATTTCTTTTTGTATGCTTTAAATCTTGGCTTAGCGGTGATTTCATAAGAGTTTGATTGCTTAGATGTGGCAGCTAGTAATGCTTATTAAACAATTGAAAAAAAATGTAATACTGTATGTGTGAGAGAGTGAGATTTTGCAAGTTAATTTGTATGCTTCCTATCTGCAGTGGCGCTAAGACTGATGTGACATATTGAAATTGCTGAAGTATAGAGGGATATTGTGCAGTTTCCATGTCAGTCTGCATGAACTGCACAGAGAAGAAAAACTCACTTTTTTTTTTTCAGGCCACTTAACAGTAGTACAGTAATTTAGAGGCAAATTTGGGAAATGGTACAGTCAAAGCACTAATTTTATTTATTTTCCTGATATCAATTACTACTTCCTTCTCCCCTCCCTCCCCCATTAAGTGTACTTCTTAAAATACTGCGGTACAGAATATTGACTAATCACTCCAGCAAAAGGATGAAGCAGGTTGATAATCTGCTGAAATATTATATGCTTTCCCTTGCAGATGGTTACTAAAAAAAAAGTAGTTCCATTATAGCTTTGAAATAATTACTCATGTGGTTAAGGTTTACATGAATAAAGAGTACTTATGTGAATATTTGAAAGACTATATCACTATAATATTTCATATGGGACATATTGCTGATTATACCCAAGATGACAAAGATGACAAAGTCTATATGATATTAAATGTAAATTGGATTGAAATTCATTGCTAAAAGACATTTCCACTCTTCTTGTTGCTGCTGATCTGTTGCTTCTTGTTTCAACTAGGACTCTAATTTTGTGAAGAGCTTAAAAAAAACATGCAGACACATGCAAGCAAAGCTTTGCACACTTGAAAAAATGTGATCACATGTTATCTGATCACAGAGTAAGTACCTGAAATGTAATAAAATGAAGCAAATGGATTAGCAGTGCTTGTAAGATGGTGTAGAAGCTGGTTTCCACAAGAGGAGGTGATGGAGCTGCCTGTCTCTGTGCCCAGGGCTGCATGCTCCTGCTGCTGCTCTCCAGCCAAAACTACTCTGCAGTCACTGTATCCAGCCCATCTAAATCTCTGGCTTACCATAAGGATCATCCAAGGGTAGTGTCTGTGAAAGCAAGAGATGAAAAGTGTGAGAAAATAGCCAGGCGTTCTTTTTGAGTAGCTCTCGCTGATTTAGTGGTATCACCAACTATTGTACCTATATATTCACAGGAAATATATAACAGAGCTTCATTTTGGAGATTTTTTTTTTCTTATTCTTTGTTTATACAGTGACTACTATGATGAGGAGGAGCCTGGGGCCCAAGGACGGAGAGAAGCTGTGACTTAATCTCATGTAGTCCAAGGCAAAATAATCTTTTCCTTGTTGTTAATGGTCAATGGATATATTAATGTGTAACCTATTCAGCTTTCAGCGAAGAACATTTTCTATGGCCTAGTAGATGGGTATCACAACTATGAATATAGTTAGACTATGATTATAGTTTTATGAGTATATAAGTGACTGCTAATAAAAGATTATCAGATCTTATGAACAATGGAATTTAGAAGACCACATTTTCTTGATTTTAGATTTATATATTTTGTGTATAATTGCAGGCATGTTTTCAATGTCCCAATATCACACAGATTTCTGGGAGAGTCACTGACAATTTCACTACATGAAAAATATTATAAAAATGACAGGTTAATTACAGGATATACTATTAATGGGTGAGATGTTATTATTTCTGTTTTCTAATCATGATAATATTACAGAGCTATATCTTCTAGAATTGGTATAAGTAGCTATTGGAGAAACTGCGCAGTCTGTACATATCTATATTAACACACTTTTATGGCATAATACATTTCTGAATCTCTTCAGTCTTTTTTCACATTGATTTCTGGAGGTATTATGTGCATTAGTAGAGATTGCAGGATTGAGTGTTTGCAGTGGTTTTGACTAATGATTTTCTTCAGATGCCAGAATGACATTCAATTCCTCAAACATTTTCTGCATAGCAAGCAGCATACTTGGAAGTCTGTGGCAGGAGAAGAAGAAGCAAACCCCAAATGTGAATTTCATAAAGTACTATTTTGGAATGGTTCAGTGGTTTAATGAGGTTAATTTGTATTAGGTTGTGGGAAAACTTTTGTCTAATGTATAGAGGCTTTCATTTCACGTGAATGTGACAGGTATTATACTTACTGCACTGCAACTTAATTATTTGGTAGCTAAGGAGCTGAAATCACTACATTTCCTCTCTAGGAATATTCTTAGCATACTCCAGATGGTGAATAGAAACTAGAGGAGAGCTGGCCTAGATTTTCAACATTTGAGATATCTTAGTATACTTTTCCAGGTTATTTTATTATTATATCTAGAAAACTTCAAAGTAGGTTTTTTAAAGATTCCCTAAAATACTATCTCATATCTTTTTTTTTAGTTCCATCCCATTTTCATGTCCTCACCCTTAAAAAACGCTGTGCCTTACTGTATGTGAGTTAGTGACCATTTCATTTAATTAGACTGCTTTCCCATAGAAGTCTGTAAATGCTTGATTTTCTCTCCCTAATTAGCAAGAAGTGAGACTTTCAAAAGTTTTGTTTCAGTATGAACTTTTCCCTTACAGCGTTTTACAGCAACTCTTTTAACCAACTTCCATTCCAGATGGCTAAAGGAGCACATAATTAGTACTTTATTTTCTCTTAGCAGGTATATTATGGCATTTCTGGAGACCTAGTGGAGCTGTGTAAAGCTGTTTAATAAGAGACCCAAGGAGACAAAATTTCAAGATCAGGGAGACATAATAGAATACAAATAAGGATTGAAAACTAATATAGAGAAAAATAAAGTGAGAACAAGTTCACAGCCTACCACTCACTAGATTTACTTCATTTTCTGAAGATTCTATATCTGTTTTGTTATACCTCTTTTAAAAAGCAAATCAGTGAATTTGTGCTAGCATATGTGGGTATAAAATGCAAATCTGCCTATCAAAATAAACATTAATGCAAATTTACAAAAGCAGAATCTATTTCTTCTAATATATGCTATACATAAGTATAATGTAGAATCGTTTTTTACCATATTAACAAATAAAGCTAGTTTAAAAAATTCTAAAAGTTATATTGAGAAAAATGAATGCAATTATTAAAATTGTTCCATTGGAAAATAAACCCGTGTAACTGTTTGGAATATAAATAAAAATAATTTTTATAGCAGAAAATAGTCTTAGTTGTAAAAATGTTTATTTAGCATCTCCCAAAGATATAAAGATACCAGATACTGCAAAGTTCCTACAGATAATGCTTCCTCTTCATCTAATGAATTAAAAAGCTTAATTTTTTAAAAAATATGCAGAAGGAGATTTTTTTCTTTTAGGTTTCTGATTTATGTATCACATTTCAGTGTATCACAATGTGACATGTTGTGGTTTAAGCAGTCGCTTTGTGTTATGTCATTCCAGCTGTAGGACGGCGTGATACTAAAGAGCATAATCTAAGCTGGCATAGTGCGCTGCAGCAAGTCGTTATAGAGATCACAGACTTTGCTCTAGCGAAAACTGCATAAGTGCTTGAATGCAAATTTTAGTAGTTTCTGTTTTGTTGATGAGGACCCAGATCCTCTAAGTAGCTGTACAGAAGCCTGTGGGCTCTGTCCCTAGGCACATCCTAGGGACAGGTCCATATCCTACCTCACTATTGTTATATATCCATGTATTATTATCCATGCTGGCCCTTTGGAGAGGTGAGAGTGTGCAGCAAGATCTGGGTGGATGCAATGATCATCATTGGGCCCCCGTAAGCCCTTCAGTATGGTCTCCTCCATGTGGAAGCTCTCATGTATGCTTTGCCTCTAGGCATGTACAAGTAGCTGAAACTTGTAACACATAGGCTTTGCAAAAAGATTTCAAATTGTTATGCGGCCGAAGAAAGAAAAGGACTTAGATACCCTCTTAAAATCTTTTGCTTCTCATGATTCAAAATTCAGATTTCTTCCTTTACTAGTTTGTGTATCAATGCCAACTAAAAGTTCATATTTCTTTTTCTCTTCCTTCAAATGGAAATGAACTGTTCCCAGAAACATCTGGACTGGTTTTTTTTTATTATTATTATTACTATTATTATTATTATTATTTTAGTGAACCAGTGAAAGTTCTTTCAAAATGCTTTTTTTTTTTTTGTTGTTCTAAATTGCAGAACACTTGTTAACTGGCTGCTGAACTATAAGGGCAGTTTGCATTTATTTTCTCCTCTTACCTTATCTTGCCTTATCTTGGATATTGGGTAATGAAAATTGTCCTGTTGCCCCATATGTTTGGAAAGCTTTGATCCTCTGTGTTCCCAGACTTTATTTACAGTGCCAGGTTTAAATGTGATTCCTCAGTAATTTTTTTTCCTGCTTTTTATTTGAGGACAGTCACTGTCCTCAGAAAGGATGGACAGATATTGTAGGATATCAAAATTTGCATCTGCCCTGTACATAAATTTTGGAGACAAAGATTCTGAAAACATAGTAAAGTATTTAAAGTTTATAACATTTCTCTTTCAAGGTTTATCCCTCAAGAAAGAAAGAAACAAACAAACAAACTGTACATTTTAGTGTTAGTGTCATTGGAATATTAGTTTCATGCATCGCAGATTGCCTCACAGATCGAAGTTTAATGTATCTCTAATTACAAAAATCACAAACAGTATAATGGTGCCTAGCAATGTGATCCAGTTACGCATCTTCTTATTTGCACAGCTCACCATGTTAAAACTGGGACCTGTGAAGTGGTGGCGCTCCACAGATGTTGTAATAAGAACAAGATAGAAGAAAGGTCGCAGACGGTGAAGTGCTCCTGCTTCCCTGGGCAGGTAGCAGGTACCACCCGGGCAGCTCCTTCTTGTGTTGATGGTGCGACTCCTTCTATTGCTTCCTTTTGCTGCAGCTTGCTAAGGGGGTGGAGGGGATGTGCCAGGCTTAGTTATCAAGGAGAACCACTCCATTACAATTAGCAGTATTTAAAATACGAGTAGGAAGGCTCATTTTGAAGGGCACGCCTGAGGTGACTATAAGGAAGATAGGGAAAATAATTGTTTGATATTACTCTGTGCAAGTGCTAAGCAAAATTATTAGATGCCAGCAAAGGAGACCCCTTGAGAAGCTAAATTTGATTTAACTTAGAAGAGTGCCCTCAGTGTTGTATCAAATTCACTTAATTGAAGTGAATTAAAAGTCTTTATGCAAAATCTGCATAACTTTCATATGCTGTAGACTTACAATTTACTGTAGAGAAAAGAACAAACAAATTGATAGTAGATAAAATAATGCTGGCTTTATTTACACTCTTTTAATACCAGCACTTTTTAGAGAACTTTCTATTCACAGTATGATATTGAAGTTTTCCATACAAATGTGTCATGGGTTCATATGTTTTGTTTGGGAAAATCCTGGTTCATTTTTCATATCTTTTTTTCTGAAAGAAGAGCAGGACTGATCCACTGTATACATGCTATCTTTACTATTGAAATGTTATTCACCATCAAAGAAGCTGTAAATATACAAACTTTGGGAATAAATTTAATCAGCCTAACTAGACTATATTAGTAGTTTACACAAAACATACTAACTAAAAGAAGAATCTTTGCTTAAAACCTAAAACTGTTAGCATAAAAAAAAAAAAAAAAAAAAGAGGTTTGGAAAGAAATGCTATAAAAATAATTCTAGAAGTACAGCTAAAAAGGGAAAAAAATAATAGAGGAATTGACTTGGATGCAGACAGCACCATGTACAAATTCAGGCTTATTTTGTTATGCAGATTCTGAGCTGGCTGCAAGTCACAGCATAGCTGTCAGTTAATATATTTCTCAGATTCTCTTGGAAAATAAATCAGATAATGCAGCATAATGACATACTGAATCCTCCATTTCAAGAACAAGCAGATGTGTTTGTTTTCTTCTCTTGTAGCTTCAATAGTGGAGCAGAAATGGTGGTGCCACATGCAGCCATGTCTTGAAGGGGAAGAATGTAAAGTTCTTCCAGATCGGAAGGGATGGAGCTGTTCCTCTGGGAATAAAGTGAAAACAACTAGGGTAGGTATGATACCAACCTGACATGTTACCAACAGGTACAAAAAGCGCACAGGAAACTGGGTGCACTCAGAAGACAACAGCTGAGAAGAATAAAGCATGAGAAGAGCATCGTATTGAGATTGGACTTTTTGGTCTGGCAGTTTTTTTTTCAGCTTTCTTTGCAATTGTTTGGTCATGGTAAGCAGTTTGCCAGACATTCTCAGGTGAGCAACAGAGACAATAGAGTTGACCCCTTTTTCAGCTACCGATAATAATCACATGTATTACATTTTGGTATATATTTTATTCTGCAACCACTAGCACAAAGCCTATAAATCCACCTAGGCTCTATGTAATATTTGAAATGCACAAGACATTCATTTACAGGAGAGAAGACAAATGAATTTTTGTCAGCAACATGGAATTACAATGTTTCTACACTGAAACTGCTGAACATGGTAAGTAAGCACTTAATGTGTCATTACTTAATGATCTTCTGGTTCTTTCTGTTTGTATAACTGAGAATTACTATAACATTTTGACTGGGTTTCAGTACGTTCATTTTCTCCGTTTGGCACTTTTTGTGTTTTTGGTTCAAAATTGAATTAACAGGGTTACATCTAACTCTCACCAAATGCAGTATCTGAAAAAAAATAAACCCATTGTAATCTCAGCTTTCTAGGAGCTAACAGAAACAAAAGAATAACAAATTCCTCTGATAACTCCTCACATTAATCGTTCAGATTTCCTAAAGCCACAGCTTGGGAATCTTTTCAGGGTCAGTATAATGCTTACTCTATACAAAGCAGATTAAAAATCTGCCCTAAACAAACATATGCATATGTGCAAGCATGAACACCTTCGTCCCTGCACATCTCCAGGTGTACACAATGACAGTTTTGTTTGTGCATTTTTAATAATTGCTTGTGGTATCAAGCCATAATTGGCCAGTGTGGTATTTATTCTGTGTTGATGTGTGTGTGCATTTATGTCATTTGATTGAAACCTTTGTATAGACCCTAAGTCTGCGATACGTCCTGGCTGTAGTGCACTGTAGTGTGTACTGATTGAATTATACACCTTCTGTTTCATACAGAGCTCTGCATGTCTGCTGCTTCTCTATTTATGAGGCTTTAAAACATTTTGCCATCCTTTCAAGGAAGAATACTTCTTCAGTGTTTGATGTACCATTCCACTCCTGACTCTTCTCTTGAATGTGTTTCCTCTGAAGCTAGCCTTGCTGAATGCTGCCTACACGTAACTTTGAACATGCTAAGGCAAATTACATTATATGCATGTAGAATATGTTAGATAAAATTTAATAGTGTTGGAACAGAAAGAAAAGGTATTGTGAGTGTTTGGAAATGCTATTGAGTCCTTTCTTTTGATTGTCTTTTCTATTTCTTCCCGATAAATTGCTGTCTTCTACTTAGGTGCAAATTGTCTTATTTAGATCCTGTGATCTCAAGGCTAAGATCTATAGAGATATATGTATAGTGCTACACACATTTGTCCTAGTTTCTGATGCATTTATACATAGTACAGTTAGCTTTAAAGTATACAGTCCGTTTTATATTTAATGTGTAGGCTTAAAAAGCAGTAATCAATAATGGGAATATGTGCAGCAAAATAGATCACAGAAAGGAGAGATTGCAGTAAGAGACTCCTTAAAGAGGCTTCATTGTCAATATATTTGTTGAAAGAAAGGCTTTTCTCCATTGGTTGAGATTAGGAAGCTCTCTCTTTCTTTAGGAATAGGCAGAAATTCAGAGGTCCTGTCCTCTTGGACTTGTGCCTCTGCTACAGGACTACTTCTTTATGGGATTCAGCCTTCTCTTGTCCTTCATGGTAGCCACTTGGAATTGATCTCGTGGCTCTTCAGAAGAAATGCTGTGGAAAAGCCAGTCCTTTGCTCAGTTTGACATGATGTGCACTGATTGTATAGTCATCACCACAGTCATGTTGGAAGAATATTCCATTTCCTGAAATTTCCTTTGTTTTTTTTTGCCCATTTTGTTCATTTTGTGTCTGTTGTCCCCTTCTTCCCTCATTTCCCACACCTCTTCAGAGCCTGTTTGAGGAAATACTAAACTTCAGTTCAAATTTCTAACTAGCTCTCGGTCTCAGTCACTATGATCAGCTAGTTAAATGGTTGAAGATCTGTCATTCCAGATGCAGGATGCTGAGGATTTCATAGAAATCCTTCTGATGCTCAGAAAAATATACATTGCTACTAGGAAGGTGAGTGATTCTTTGTGTTAAAAGAGTAGCTTATTTTCAAAAAGCAAGTACTTTCCCCTAATATGTGATGGCTACATTGCTTTTGTAGCTCCTTTTCTGTTCCCCAAAGGCTAGAAATAAAAGGAAGAATTCTAAAGCTCTCTGGTTTCAAACACCCTTTTGAGACAAATGATAAAGAACTGTACAGAGAGTCCGTATTAAGAAATCATGAATAAAAAGCCTCTGATTGTCAAATTAAATAACCCGCATGTGATTATCATAGATAATGTAGAAGTATAAAGGAACAAAGGGAACTGAACATTTTGGATGATTTCAGTAGACCATGGAAAATCCTTGTGAAAGTTTTCCTAGAAGGCCTAAAAAATTATTAGATCTGTATTCACCTCTAAATATTTTTTGTACATTTGCCTTCTTCGTGTGTAGCAGAAGTAACCTAATTAACTCCTGTTCTACAGGATAGAAGATTCAAAAGCAGCACCAATATTCTGTATCTCAGCCTGTTCATAGTGCAATATTATGTGAGAGAGAAAAACAGCAATAGGAAGGAAGTACTTTAGCATATTTACTCATACTGCTATAGAGACTGATGATACCAGCTTCTTGATACGTATGATATCAGTCACTTTTTGCTAAAAGGACAAGTGAGTAATGAGAAAAAAATAATTGATTTTTTAAAATGTGATAAACTTGAGGCTTTGCATTTTGTTCAGATGTAGGGATACAATAAGGTTAGGCATGAATAATGAATTAGAATGAGTGTGGATGTTGTTGTACTCAGAATTCAAATGTTAAGAACGATGAGGTTGAAATTATTTGCCCTATGAATGGAAACACAAGTATTTTGGAAAGATTTTACAGTGGAACCACATTTCCTAATTTGCCTGCATATAGTTTATAGTGGGAGAGGTCTGACATTAAGAATTAATTACAGAAAAGCAATGGAAAGGGGAAGTAAAAGTGTGGGTGTGTGAAATGGTCTCATAAACTCAGGCATTGACTTTGAATTAGTTATATTACATCTATGTAGTCTGCGGGAGGGATGGCAGAGTGGGAATGACATTTTAGAAAGTATTTTTTTGACTTCGTATAAAAATTTATATTTGCTTTCTTAAGTATTACATTAATATAAAAGAGGATGTTCATAAACAGTTTAGTAGGATTATGAAATAAATACAGAGTTGAGATTTATTAGGTAAGCTGTGGCATTCTCCTCCAGGCTGAAACAATCTTGTGAATGGAAGTGACTGATTTTTTTTTCTGTATGTCTATCCTCAATGTTTTAATAAATAAAGACTTTTTTTTGTCTTGTTACCTCCTTTACATAATTTTTTAAAAATGTAAAAAAGGAGGGAAAACAGTTGTTTACTTTTGATTTTTTTTCCCCACAACCTCCTTCTGGTACAGTTACCTTCATTCAAAGTTTCTTCTTGACAGTGTTTTCTTTCCTTTTTTGCAAAACAAGGAAACTGTCTTTTAAAAACAGGAGATTTTCACACTATTTCGAGACACCCGCATATGGTTAATATTATGAATGCAATTGACATCCATAATCTCCTTCTTAATAGACTCACATACAAATATGTATGTCTAAGTTAAAACTGTAAAATACCACAGAAAAGCCAGAGATGAGATTATTTTCTTATCAAAAAGAATATACTGGAATACTGAATATTGCTTTCAAAAAGCTGTTTCAAGAAGAGGCAAAGAGCATTGATATGAAACTACTCTTGCAAAATACAAATAAGCATAGCATGGCTGGGGAAATAGGCTGGAAATAGCTAAGCTGAGGCATAATGATTTGGCATGATTGTGCCAATGACTATTTGCTCTATTGCTTAGCTTTTGGTGAGAAGAATGTATATTATTATTATTATATATTATATATGTATATTATTATTAAGGCCAATGGGATCCTGGCCTGCATCAGGAGGAGTGTTGCCAGCAGGTCAAGGGAGGTGATTCTGCCCCTCTACTCAGCTCTGGTGAGGCTGCACCTGGAGTACTGTGTGCAGTTTTGGGCTCCCCAGTATAAGAGGGACATGGAGCTTCTCGAGAGGGTCCAGCGGAGAGCAACTAAGATAATTAAGGGGCGGGAACATCTCTCATATGAGGAGAGACTGAGTGTGTTGGTCCTGTTTAGCTTGGAGAAGAGAAGGCTGAGAGGGGATATGATTAACATGTGTAAGTTCATGAAGGGAGAATGTAGGGAGGAAGGGGACAAGCTCTTCTCATTGGTGGCCAGTGACAGGACAAGGGGTAATAAGTTGAAACACAGGAAGTTTGATCTCCATGTGAGGAAGAACTTCTTCACTGTGAGGGTGCCAGAGCCCTGGCACAGGCTGCCCAGGGAGGCTGTGGAGTCTCCTTCTCTGGAGATCTTCAAAACCCACCTGGATGCTGCCCTGTGCCCCGTGCTCTGGGTGTCCCTGCCTGAGCAGGAAGGTCGGACTAGATGATCTCTAGAGGTGCCTTCCAACCTTAACCATTCTGTGATTCTGTGATATTATACAGTTTCATATAATCTTTCTTATATAATGTATGCAACTAAGATATACGAGCATGCTCACAGATTCATGAAGACTGAATTAAAAACTACTGTAGTCACAGGTTTCCAAAATCTGTGACCTTCAACGCTTTTAAAAAGTATATCTGATTGCAAATTATAAATTAAATTTTTTTACTACCTTTTAAATATTATTTTTTCCTACATATCTTGTCTTGAGTGTGGGGAAGTATAGTAAATGGTGTGTGCTGAGTTTTATCTTGAGATCTCGGAACTGTAACATAGTGGAAATAGTGTGCAGTCAAGCCCAAGGATGAACTGGAAGTTCTCATGGGCTGCAGAGATTTGATACAAGCTGAGGTCTTTTCAGAGATGGTGATTTGATGTTACATTAAGTTGTAGGGCGAATATATACTGATATTTTCCATGTGAAATAGTATCTTGTCCTCAAGCTTTTAGTTTGACCTAGGTAAAATGGCTAGCACCAGTTCTAACTAATCAGTACTAATATCTGATTAAAAATTGGAATTCATCTGACTGTGTGTGAGTTTGGATTCTCTAAAGGAAGATAACTCAGCTGATGCTCTAGACTGTCTTTGTAGTTTTGGAGGGAATTGTTCACTTCTAGAGAACAATTAATCTCTAACCTTAGGAGGTGCCTATTTCTCCCCAGAACACTAAAGGAAATCTACAATGACTATCTTAGCATCTAACATTTAGATGGAAAGGGAAGATGGTGGTACTCTTTAACATGGACTTAACATGTCCCCTCATTCTTTGTCAGTTTGGGAATTTTTAACTTAAGCTATTAACAAATGCAATATAAGAGAAATTTCAGTAGTCATATTCTGAAGACACACAACTGCAAACTAACTAGGTTAATCATACTGTGATGAGCAACATGCTGAACAATCTAACTTGCAGCAGAAACCGGCAACCAATGCGTGCCGTTTAGAATTGACTTGCTGGTATAATGAAAGTAATGATGAAATAGAAATTAAACAAAAATACCTGAAATGTTGCATACTGGGAACAGATTATTAATCTTGGACAATTTCAACATGATGCAAGTGAACAAAATATTTTCTGATTAACAGGTGCTAGTAGTATTTTTACATGAGTTGTAAAATACCCCATTTTGGAAATGAATATCCAACTTTTGGAAGTGCCGAGCACCTACATTTTTATGAGAAACAGAAAGAATTGGAATTGTCACTCTGAAAACTAGCTATTATTTTTTAATCTATGGGGAAAAGACACTCCCGTAGAGAAAGAAATCAAATATATTTAATATATTACTATGTAACTATATTCCAAACCAATATTAGAAATAGAGTACTGTAAAAAATATAAAATAAATATTTCAGAGATAGAGAGATATAAAAGAGAAATATTACAGGGACAGAAATAAATCCATATTGAGTATATTTATCTACATTCCAAATCCAAAT